TCTCTACAAAAAAAGAAAAAAAAAGTTAGCCAGGTGTGATGGCGCATGCCTGTACTTCCAGCTACTTCGAAGGCTGAGCCGGAAGGTTCACCTGAACCCAACTGGTAGAGGCTGCAGTGGCTGTAAATGTGCCACTATACTCCAGCCTGGGTGGCAGAGTGAGACTCCAACTCAAAAAAATAAAAATAAAATAAACTTTTACAGATCAATCTACTACATGTCAGCTGTTCTAGATTCTTGGGATAAAGCAGTGAACAAAACAAAAAGACAAGTTGGGCAACCCCCAGGGTCCCCTCCCACTCTGGGAGCTTTTCTGTCCTCTCAATAAATCCTGCCCCCCTCCAAAAAAAGACCAGTCCATGCCCTCATGGAACTTCCATTCATCTCATTGATAATGATTTGTCATTCCCTCTAGACAATAACCAATAGGGTTCTGCTTACCACTGGATTCCCACTGTCTGGGATATAGTAGATGTGCCATATCTGTGACTGACTGATTAACCAACCCTAAGCAACAAGGCAAAGATTTGTGGTAACTCTACCCAAGAGAGAGTAAACCTGCCCAGAAGATATCTGATGAACTCTTAAATTGTCCCTGAATCACAGTAGTACTTAGTATGTATTGTCATGGAATAAATGTTAAATAATCAGTTCCCCCATTGATCTAAAATTTAGTTTAGTTTTGTTTTGTTTTTTGAGTCAAGGTCTCTGTCACATAGACTGGAATGCAGTGGCACCATCACGGCTCACCAAAGCTTTAAACTCCTGAATTTAGGCAATCCTCCCACCTCAGCCTCTTGAGTAGTTGGGACTACAGGCATGTGCCACCACGCCTGGCTAATTTTTTACATTTTTTGTAGAGATGAGGTCTCACTAAGTTGCCTAGTCTAGGCTCAAACTCCTGGGCTCAAGTGATCCTCCTGCCTTAGTCTCCTAGTCTCCCAAAGTGCTGGGATTACAACCATGAGCCACTGAACCTGACTACTCTAAGACGGTTTTTAGTCAGACCATTTTGCTTTCATCTCCTGTCCTTGTAGAAGATTATGATAGGCTGGGCTTGTTGGCTCAAAAAAAGAAAAAAAGATGAAGATACATTAATGTCATGCTTTATGACAATAATTTTGAGAAATTTATTACAAATGTTCTTTGTTTAATTAAATAGTTCTATCTTGTCATATATCATAGCTCACCTGTTAGACTTCTTGAGCGTAAAGACTCTGTCCCATCTTTGTACAATCTATGATTTTTTTTTTTTTTTTTTTTTTTGAGTCAGAGTCTCACTCTTTCCCCCAGGCTGGAGTGCAGTGGCAGGCTAACAGCCACCCCAGCATCGACCTGCTGGGCTCAGGCGATCCTTCTGCCTCAGCCTTACAAATAGCCAGAACTATAGGAGTGCACTACCATGCCCAGCTAATTTTTTAATATATTATAGAGACACGGTCTCACCAAGTATGATTTTTTTTTTTTAGTCAAAGTCTCACTCTGTTGCCCAGGCTGGAGTGCAGTAGCACGCTGAAGGCCACCGCAGGCTTGACCTGCTGGGCTCAGTAGATCCTTCCGCATTCAGCCTTCCAAGTAGCTGAAACTACAGGCATGTGCTACCACGCTTGGCTAATTTTTTTTCTGGATTTATTTTGGAGATGAGGTCTTGCCAAGTTGCCCAGGCTGGTCTCAAACCCTTGGGCTCAGGCAATCCTTTCACCTCAGCCTCCCAAAGTGCTAGGATTATAGGCGTGAGTTGCCACACTCCTGTAATTCTCTGGGTTTTTTTTTTTTTGTTGTTGTTTGTTTTTTTGAGTTTGAGTATCACAATGTAGTCCAGAGAGGGCAGTGGCATGCTCATGACCACCACAGACTTGACCTGCTGGGCTCAGGCGATCCTTCTGCCTCACCCTTCCAAGAAGCTGGAACTATAGGCACACACCATCACGCCTGGCTAATTTTTTTTCTGGATTTATTTTAGAAATGAGGTCTCCGCCGGGCGCGGTGGCTCAGCCTGTAATCCCGCGCCTTTGGGAGGCTGAGGTGAGTGGATTGCCTGAGCCCGC